GAGGGATTTGCAGCTCTGACATCTCTCCTGGAGTTATGACCTGAAACTAACCCTTTCTCAGAAAAGAAAGGTGAAGATGGAGCAATTGGGACTCCCAACAGCTGGGAAAGGTGTGTTCAGATGATTTCAGCAGAGTGTCTATGTCTCTCAATAGCCACTGGATGCTGAATAGAAAGGGAGAACTATTTGCTTTAGACTTTTTGCACAGGGTCCAACCTGTGGTGCACCCCATAACTCCCGGCCAGCTCAAGCCTGCTGCGGTCATGGAGGGATGTGCTCGGTGGGTGGGAATCCTGGCAGGGTGGATGAGGTGGAGCACATCTGATGGTGCTCTGTCAGCCCAGAAAAATGTGGGTTGGGATAAGGGGGTCATGCTGCCCCAGCATGAGGCACCCTTACTAGTGGAGTATTTAAGAAATGGCAGGAATTGGGGGCAGGTCTCCCAAGCTATCATTTGGGATACAGAAAAAGACACTAAGTAGCAGCCAGCTGCGGGTGCTATTCTGTCTCTGCAGCCCAAACTCCACCCCACAGTTAGTATAAAGTGCCAAAGCCCAGCTTAGTAGCAGCTGTGAATTGCTGAGTGACCACAGTAGAACTGTGGCATTCACACAAAACCTGAGAAATCTCAAAAGGGTTAACAAAAGCAATTGGCTTTAACTGAACAATACTGCAGTCTCTGTTCCTGCTTCCCTTATTTCTTTTCTCCCATTAAAAAACCTTTAATAATTCACTTTCAGAAATTCCTATGCTCTGATCCATGTTCTTTGTGGAAGGAGGTAAAAATCTAAAAATAAACTGATATATAAATGACATAAAGTAATGAAACCAGGTACACAGATTTCATGTAAAATTAAATGGGATCAACTTGACATATCCATTACAAAAACAATTACTCTCATGACTTTATTCCCTGCTACAGCCATCCCACCTTACCTGTCAATTTTAATTTAACTGTCTGCTGTAGGCTCAGGTTCTTCAGCCAAAATGTGTAATTTTGAGAAAACAAAGTTAAATGCCAAGACAAAACAGCTTTTAAAGACAAAACAGCTTATTGGGGTCACTGATACAGACTTACAGCTGGGCTTTTTAAATGCTTTATATAAAGAAGCCCCACTGACTTGACCTGTTTGGGGTATCCAGCATCTAAAATGCTAGCTTGGAACCCTTTTGGTTCAAGTTTGCCATAATCTGAAGTAGTAGGTGACTAAACTTCCTGTAACTTTTCCTATAACCGTAATTCACAGCAAAGCCTTGCCCTGTTTCCTGTCATCCCTTCAATGCCCAGCACATTTACAGTGCTGGGTAACTAACACTTGCTATTTTTAAACCACGGTGACACTCATGCTGGGACAGGCAAAGCAAGACCAAGACCAAGACCAAAGCTGGTATGGGTAGCCAGCTCTGCATTGTGGCTGCAACATGAACAAGATGAGAATCGTCTCCTTCACAGTTAACAGCCGAGGCTTACAAATTCAGTGTTTGGAGCTGTTGTAGCTAGCAGTAGACTGGGGGACTCCTGCTATGGCACAAAAAGGCAGTATCTCAACAGGGACTAAAAATTTTGGATTGTGCTTCTGCTCCCTTGTTGCTGAGAGGTTTCAGAACTTCATGCCCTGGGGACTCTAAAATCAGGATGCAAATAAAAATACAGCTACGAGTCAAGCAAAATTTGTGTAGTATTGCCCATAAGGAATTGAAAGGGTCTATCTAGACTGAGACAAATTCAGTGCCTTTCTGTACATCCTTTACTCCTACAAGACAAAATACTTGCACTTTATCTCTTTTTTAAGGGGGACCAGTGTCAATTAATTCTCCTGCTGGCGATAAATTTTGTTGCCAGATCACATGCACACCTAACTAGGTGGAGCAGAATTTAACAGCTGCCTTAGTCCTGTGGCCCACTGGTACAAGCAAGCTTTCTGAAACTTTTCCTGCAGCTTTCACCAGCTCTGTGGTGGCCAGGCCCTAAATGACTATGTTGCACTGAGATCCATGCAGCATGCTTGGGCTGCTCTGTGATCTCTCAGGGAGCTGCCAGTTAACTACATGCCTGACCAGCATCAGGCCTTTGCTGACACTCCAGCTGACACAAGCACAAGGTAGCAAAGGACAGTGAGTTCTTGTAATTCAGATAAAAGGGTGCCAGCACCTCTGTGTAGCTGGCAACTGCCACTTTTAAATCATGAGATAATTACTAGTGCTGTCCACTCAGACCATTCTTTCAGAGGCTTTGATGACAAGCAGATTCGCTGAGGGACAAAAAAACCCCCAAACTGTACGGTGCTTCTGGGAACTGGCATACGAAAGCAGAGTGAATCAAAGCTCAGAGGTATGCAGCACATGTTTCTGGTGCATGATTTCAGCTTGTCTCAGATGCAGAGGGACACTTGTGCAGCTCTTTCTTCTGCAAATAAACAGTTGTGCTTTGAAAGCAAATGCACACTTTACCTGCAGTGCCAAAAGAGCCTTGAAGGTCAACCAGGTGGAAAGCCAGTCATGTGGGTTGCTCCCCTAAGCGATCCGCTGGCTGTCCTCAGTGTAGCCAGGTATACTGCAGATAGCAGTGCTTTTAACTGGTACAGATGCAGCTCCATATGACATCAAGAGAAAAATCCCCTGCACATTCGTCACTAGCTTCTGATCTGAGCCCCAGAAAGACATACATAGGCTCAAGTAAAGTAGGAGGGGTACACTACACTCAAGAAAGACATGTATGCCCTCCTCAGGCAGAAGGTAAAGGTATCGCTGTCCCCTTCTCATCCTATTAGATGCAGAAAAATCCTGGCTTTAGGAGTCTGCCAGGATGTACATGTTCTCCTCAAACTACAGTATTCACTGTATATTTTTGCTTTTTAAGAAATATATTTTTTTTTCCCCTGCAAAAACAAATGCCCTTGGAACTTGCCAAAACTCATCACAAGCTTTTTTGCCCTTGAAAAACTCTTTACTCTCATCTCTCATCCCTATGTCCAACTGATTTTCTTCTCTTCAGAAGTCTTCCTCAGAAAGTAGTACTGAACCAGACTGTGTCTAGTAGGCACAATCCGGTAAGTGCAGCAACCACAAGCTCTATTTCCCCATTTTCACATAGGCTTCTTTTTTAATGAGCTTGGGTTTTCTACCAGACCAGGAAAGCTAATGACTTCATTTGTCTCCAGGTCTCTCTCACACAATGTCTACCATTAGCTTTCCTTAGTCTCCATTATTACTGCAGTGTAGGAGCTCACAATAATTCAGTATCTTCATCAATGACATAGACAGTGGGATTGAGTACAGCCTCAGCAAGTTTGCAGATGACACCAAGCTGAGTGGTGCAGTTGACATGCCTGAGGGATGGGATGCCATCCAGAGGAGCCTGGACAAGCTTTAGGAATGGGCCCATGTGAACCCTGTGAGGTTCAGTAAGGCCAAGTGCAGGGTCCTGCACCTGGGCTGGGGCAAGCCCTGGTATCAGTACAGGCTGGGGGATGAAGGGATGGAGAGCAGCCCTGCCAAGAAGGACTTGGGGGTACTGGTGTATGAAAAGCTGGACGTGAGCCGACAATGTGTGCTTGCAGCCCAGAAGGCCAGCTGTATCCTGGGCCACATCAAAAACAGCATGGCCAGCAGGTCAAGGGAGATGATTCTGCCCCTCTGCTCTGCTCTGGTGAGAACCCACCTGGAGTCCTGCATCCAGCTCTGGAGCCCTCAGGACAGGCAAGACATAGACATGTTGGAGAGGCGCCAGAGGAGGGCCACAAAAATGCTCAGAAGGATGGAACACCTCTCCTATGAAGAAAGGCTGAGAGAGTTGGGGTTGTTGAGCCTAGAGAAGAGAAGGCTCCCGGGAGACCTTACTGCAGCCTTTCAGTACTTAAAGGGAGCTTATAAGAAAGATGGGGACAGTCTTTTTAGCAGGGCCTGTTGCAACAGGACAAGGAGTAACAGTTTTAAACTAAAAAAGGGAACATTTAGGAGAGATCTAAGGAAGAAATTTTTCACAATGAGGGTGGTAAAACACCGGCACAGGTTGCCTGGCGAGGTGGTAGATGCCCCATCCCCAGAAACATTCAAGGTCAGGCTGGCCGGGGCTCTGAGTAACCTGATCTAGTTGAGAATGTTCCTGCTCATTGCAAGGGGGTTGGACTAGATGACCGGATGACCTTTAAAGGTCTCTTCCAACCCAATCCATCTATGATTCTACGATTCCATGATTTAGGCCAAAGGAGACAGGTGTAAATGCTCTGAAGTAAGCTGTGTCTTACCACTTTGTAAAGTTCTAGGTGAACTAGTGCACATTTTTATGGTGCATTTTAACTCTTCAGAAGTGTCAGAGAAAATCACCACAACAGCCAATGTCAGCATGAAGGACAGGAGGTGGGATCAAAGATGTTTTCTACCTAGTGTTCTGGCTGGGGCTGTCATCATCCTATCAGCATGTCTCTGTGTCAAAGTGTGAATTCCACTTTGTTTTGTGGACCCCATTCTGCTTTACGTTCTGTACTGTCACCTTCACAGTGCTGCAGCTCTTACCCATGGTACCAGCTGGACACGTTCGGAAAAACCCACATACTGGAGTAGTTGCAGCAGACAAGGGCAACAAACCCCATGAATCCTGAATGTCTGGAACAGTAGGTAAGGTCACTGGCTCTCAGACTCTTACAAACAGCAGTTTACCAGATGGGACCACTGCCTGAATATACCCCAGCAGAAGAGAATAATCAAAAGAAACCCCTCAATAAACCAGTGTATACTGTAAGACAGGTAACATTCTCTAACGAAGTATGCAAGAACCATGTTGTTTAAGGGCAGTGACTATACCCACCACTCATAAGAGAAAAGACACAGAGGTTTTTTGGAGTCATCTGCTTTTTCAAAAAGTCAAAATTCTCACGCCTTTTCAGAGTAAAATAGCAATGGAAAAGAGATTCCATTGCAAAGCCTGCCTTCCTTTCCTCTCCCCTGAGGATTTTAGCTCAAAACCCAAGCTCCCACATGTTGCATGATTTGGAGCTACTCTGGTGCTGTGTTACACAAAAAGGGGTGGAAAATCTGTACAGCAGGATTCTGCTGCCTACGAAGACTGCCCCACAAATGCAGGAGGGAGTCCTGGGACTACCACCTGTGACTGATAGTGCTTTGAAGGTCTTGGGCCCTCATCAGTTACAGCTATAACTCAACTCAATGCTGGGGAAACCCCAGCTGAGCTTCACCCATTCACCAGGCACACACATTTTGCAAACAGAAGGGAGCATGTGAGCCAGCTGGGAACCCATACACCAACAAGACACCCAACCTGGACAAGCAGAGGGCCAGAAACTGCAGCCTGGTATGCCATGTTCCAGCATTTAATTCATACACATCCTCAGAGACCCGTAAGTCAGAACGGCACTGAATGACTTCCCAGACCACGCATCTAGTGCTGCAGTGACAGCACACTGCACTGGCTGCAACCAAGTGAATCACGTTTGCTCTCAGCTAGCCACCCCCAGCTCCTTCTCCCTGTCTCCTCGTTGATGTCATCCCTCCCTCAGATCTGCTGCCGTAAGTGTTGATAACAGCTTCCTAAATGGAAACAGAGGCATAGGCCTGTTTCCAACAGATGCCTTTTGCACAATTCCACTCCAGAAGTCACTGGCTGGCTCACTGCAACTGCTCCTGTGTGGAATTCATACCTGTATTCAGCAACCCCTCCTGCATGCTTCTTCATGGCTGTATCAGAGCTCATTCCATAGAAGAGTTTCACCTTCTTGCCATTCTTTTCCATAATCTCTCCAGCACACTGGTCATGGCCTGCAAACATTCCTCCAAGCATGACAAAATCAGCACCAGCTCCTGTGATCAGCAAAGTGACACGTAAGAAAGCAGGGAAGGCAGATAAGGGTGAAAGACAAAGCAAGAACATAGTGGCCTCCAAAAACAATAGCCAGCCCTAAATAGTTTGGTACAGAGTCCCCTCCTGTAATAGACATAGCAAACTTGGAAGCAATGCTTTACTGAAGAACTGATACATGCTGAATTGTATTTCTTTGGCATTTTAAATGGAAAGAAACCTTTTCTGTTGTGATTACAAAGATATAGATTATTCTACTCCACCCCACACTCTTTATTTTCAAATTCAGTTTTAGCCCTTTACTTCATAATAGTATCTGAGCACAGTTCCTTATTAACTACTGTTGTGACTGCAGTACTCAAAAGCCTTAATCACAGGGCTGGGACCTGTTGAGCTCAATGATGTACAGAGGAGAGGGCAGCTCCTGCTTCAAGACCTTTCTAGGCTACAAGCTGTGAGTGGGAATGTACCCTGAAGGAAGGCGTAGTCATGAACGCAATGTACTCCTCCCAACACTGACATAAAACTAGCAGATTTTTTAATGAAATTATGGATTTTTCAAGTCCATCAGCCATATGTGTTCAGTGTAGGTCTGGGTGATCCCTTGTCAAAGAGATCTGGAAGAGTCTGCATTTGGTTCCTGTTGTTTAAAAACTCTGGGCCAAGGACCACCACCCCAGGTTCTGTGGTTCTCAGCATGCACTGCAAAGGAGGTCTAACCCATAGCTACAACTCCTAAATATGTTCCAGATACTGAATAACACCACTGAATACTCAGTCATGCCTGTTCAGTCTGTCCATCTCCCCAGGCTTTGCAAATCATGAAATCAGTTCCACTGGGAATAAGATCAGGAAGAAGGTTTTTGGAATCACTCTTGATTTTCTACTGTGATTTCCAGCACTTCCAGCTGGGCTGGAACTATTCCACCAGCAGCTCCTCCTGTGATATTTTGGCATACCTAGTCTTGCTTGGAAAAGTTTGGCTTTTACTCTTTCATGAGCCTGTGGTGACCCATCCCTGAAACAAAGCATTTTACTGTTCAGATTCTCTGCTTCTTCAATGTGGATGTGTCAGAACAGGCCTCCCCTCTGCCCAGCTTGTTCCCAGAACTGGCAAAAGAACAAGGTGATAAACTTCACTTCATAGAAAGCAGATGAGCCTGAACTAACGCCAACCTGTTATGAACATGTCCGAACTCTCGGGAGATTGCAGGCTAGGTAAGTCTGGCATTAGGATTTGCTCTGATTTCTGTCACTATCCAAACAACAGCCCTGGACCTTGAAATCTGAAGAGTAAGTGAAATCATTATCAAATCTGCTCAGCTTCTGCCATCTGTTTAAAAGCAAAGTAAACAAACCTGAACTTGGGAATATTTTGATTTTAGAATACATGACAACAGTGGAGTGTGCACTGATCTATAAAGGCCAGATCCCTCCCTCCATCCCTTTGCCAAAGAGCAGACCTAGCAGCAACGCCTGGGAGCAGAGCACCCAGCTGCTCTGCTGACCTCGCCTCCCTTTGCCTCGTTGTTGTTTGAAAGGAACAGTACGTCCGCAGTAAACAGCTATTAAAAATGAGGCTTGTGCAAAACCGCTGAGCACATCACAGGCAATATGCATAGCCAGGCACCCATTCAGGTGTCCTATCACGCCAGCTACCTGGCAGATTTTTCCTGAGCTCTCCTGTTTCAGATGGCTGAGTCTTAAAGCCTCAGTTTGACTCACATCTGATACTATTATTAACCTGCCAAAAAGGAAGGGAATGCTCATCTTTTAAGACATTCTCAATTACTGGTGGGGAGCTCCTGTTGTTACCTGGTGCAATCTTGCTCCACCTTTGCAAAAAATAAGGACCCTGGGAAATCTAGCTGATGTCTTCTTCATGAGTGGAAGAAAACAACATGAGGAAGGAGGGATGTATTTGGGGTCAAGGTTTCAAAGGCAGCATTTGAACAAGTCAAAGGCCTGCCAAAGGACACTCTGGACTCTTTGCCTTGTCAATACTATCTCCCGATTCCCAATTCTAGTGCTGTCTCTGGTTGTGGGTCTCACAGCCTCCAAATTATTAATGCAAAACAGTCACATGAAATCTACACTTCAGAATCACAGAATTTTGGTTCCTGTGCACTTAAGTACCTATTTATTATTTTTCTTTTGACTGCATATTTCGGGAGGAAAGCAAATATGTTTGAATTACAGGATTGAAACTCATCCAACTTTTGCAAACTACAACATAATTCATCAAGCTCTTCCAGAAGAGAGGAGCTATGTTACAGCAGACGCAGCACGTCTAAACATTGGAATGACACATGCTTACTGCCCTGCAGCTCCAGGAATGACAAGCCCATATTAAATATACTTTTCTAATGCTCTCCAGAACTTTCCACCCTGCTTCAGTGTTGCAAGATGTCTGAAAGTTTCAAGTCTGTTCCACTACTTTTCTACCAGTTAACATCCAACCAGGAGGCTGTAGTTTTTAGCACGGTCTTTCTTTACTTATGCATGGGGTTTTGTACAACCAGAAGCATTGGTGTTGTTTGCAACACCCAGCTTAGTCTTTAATTTCCAAGTACAGATAGACAGCGTGCCATTATTTTAGGTTGTGGGGGACTGGGAATACCTGGCAACAGCCCCCTAGATAACACAGGATGTCATGGGGTACGTTGCGTACAAGCATACCAGTAGCTCACCCAGAGGTTGCTAGACTCTTCCTGTTTCTACACAATGCCACTTCAATGCACCGACTTCCCCCTCGAGGCCTATGCTGTATCTGGGTTGATATTGCTCATTCACATTTCACAGTGCCTTCTTTTTCAAGCCGTTACAGAATATGTGTGCTGACACCAGCCCAATTTTGCAGTACTCACACAGTTCTGCTGGATCTGGAAGGAGTCCCTCAGACGTCTTTTGTATGCCTTATAATACAAGTTGCTGATAACCAGATTGCCTCTGCACAAATTCAGCTGGATGGTGTCAGCCTGGATTTGTAGCCTAGGCAGCCCTCCAGGCAGATGCAGCTAAAGTTTTCCTGGACCACAGCTGGCCCTGGAATCAACATTCACCTGTGCTCCAGCTGAGCCAGCAAGCCTTTGCAACAGTAGGTAGACACACACAGCTAACAGGAAAAAAAGTCACTATAATCTGTCAGGTATATTTTGGAACCAGTATATGTCCCCAGCTGACTTTTCCACATGACTTTTCCTTCCTTTTCCTTCTCTTCTCCTGCACCTCTTCTCACCACTGCTGTAAGGAACAGCAGTATTGTGTTAAAGATGCTGGCGTAGGATTCAAAAGGCACACTCTGTTCCTGGCTGTGTCACAAAAATATATGTGACCTCAGGCAACTGAACTTAGTATTTCTGTGCTTTGGCTTCTCATCTTTAAAAAAGGAGACAGTAGTGCCTCCCTGGGGCATTCTGAGAAATGTGTTCATGTTATCAGCTTTTCCAAGGGTGCAGTTAATGTGAACCATCTGAAAACCCAACACAAAGTTCTTTCATGCTTTCTCTCATTCCTGCATCAAAGCACCTCTTTCCTTTCTGATCAACCTACATCTCTCCAATACCCTGATGGCAGTGACATCTTCAGTTTACCAAATCCATGCCAGGTTCCCATCCAGCAGTTCCAGAATTGTAGCAGTCTCTCCTACAGTATCTGTCGCTCCTGGCATTTTTGCCCCCCCCCCCCCCCCCACCACGCTCCTCTCT